TGAGGTCTATACTAGATATAAATTCAGCCCTAGGAAGACGGCTGAGAATCCCCTCGATGAGAGGCATTGGGTATGCGTTTTTAATGGTTACGTCATTGAGTTTCCGGCAGTCTATACACAATCTCACTTTTCCGGGTTTACGAACTAGGACAACTGGTGATGACCATGGACTGTCGGATTCTTCTATAACCCCAAGAGAAAGCATTCTCTCTAATTCTGTATACATAAGCTGTTCTATTGCCGGTGATACTGCGTAATGTCTCTGTTTTATTGGCTTAGCGCTACCTACATCTATCTCGTGCTCTAACAATGTGGTTTTCCCTAATCCTTTTTTGGTGAAAGACGGAAATATCTTAATTACAGTTGCCAGCTGATCTTTTTGTTGCGGCGTTAGTGGCACTTGATTTGGATCAGTCACATCGAGATTTGCAATGTTTACGACAGTACTTCGATTTGCAAAAATTCAGGCAACAAGTTATAACTATTCCAGAAGTCAATTCCCAAGTATAGGTCTTGAGATAGGGATGGCACTATCCAAAAGCGAAATGGTTTGCATTCGCCTCTAAAAGTTATAGAAGTACTTATACGACCAACAATAGCTTGTTTATTTCCATCCGCTGTACTAACGCTGGCGTGGAGAGGTTTATAAATTGATGTGTCCTTAACTATATCCGCGGCTAAAGACCCCCCAATGCAACTTATAGACGCCCCAGTATCCATTAGGCCCCGCACTTGCCTTCCTAACAGATCCACTTTGGCATACGGTCTCCAGTCTTTCGTGCTATTTACAATGGACTCTAGAATTGCTTGCTTTTCTTGCTTACATTGGATTCGAAAGTCGGACAGACGTTTTTGTGAACGATTTTGAGCTGGCGGCTTACATGTTTTTGACCGCTCTTGTACTCGCTGGTGAATTGCTATTTCTGGTAAGGTGGATATCTTCGGGTAGGCATCGCTTTTTAATGGCTTCTCTCCTCGGAGATCTTGTCTAAGTTGGCTGACAGTTTGCGTGCACCGCTCGGTGGTGCACGGGCTCGCCATTTTTTTGGACCATTACACCGAGTACAAGATGGTTTATAAGTTTCCGGTTTCCCGCAGCCATAACAAAAAATCTTCTTTTTCCCCAAACACTCCTGATATCGATGGTCGGATGCACCACAATTCCAGCAGGTCAAGGCTATTGCCTCCACTTCTGGACCGAGGTTTTCCTCTTCTTCAGAAAGATCCCCAGAGGAACTGGCTAATTCCCTCACTTGGGGACGTTGTCCCTGACGGAAACTTTGCTTAGGGGCATTCCCATTCATGGCCTGCATAAATCTTTCCCTTGTACGGACAATGTGACGCAGCTGAGCAATACTATATATTGACACATGTAAAATTTCATGCTGTGTTTCCGTCAACAAATTGGCTCGCAATACTTCCAATAAAGCTGGTTCTGATATAGGCTCCGATAGTTTCCCCGCAATAGCAAGAATTTCCTCATAAAATTTATCAAAAGTTTCAGAAATAAGTTATTAGCATATTGTGCTAGTACCTGTAGCTTGCCATCCAGCGTTTGGTTAGTCAGGGCTTGCACCCTATACAAAAAATCGTCCACGGACATACCAGACGACCCTGAAAATCGTAACTTCCAACTAGATATAATTTGACTTATTCGATCGGAACGAAGATTTTGGTCTTGTTGCGTTCCAAACGGAGAATTGATATTTGTGGCGGTGCTGGTATTTCGCCCTTCGTTATCCTGATGACCTCCCATTGATGCACGAGGAGGTATTTGAAACAATTGTTCAAAAGTTTGAAGACCTGTGGCCAGAGTTGGCGGCGCTGTGTTTTGCGACGTCAACCTACTAAAGCCTCCTTCTATGACTTCTGTCATTCGTCCAATCTGTGCCATAGCTTGCGTTATAGATATATTTATCTGGGCTATTCCCTCTTGCATACGCACCACCGCGTTTGACTCTCTACCTGTATTCAGCGGACCTGCCACTGGTGATACGATTTCTGGCTCATTCGACATATTTAGCTGCGATCCATCTCCTAGAGTGCCGTCCTCTACTACTAAACCCTGCGATCTCAATCTTGGCATGTTTGCGCCGACTCTTTGTGCTGCAGCTAACTCTTCGGCTAGTGATGGTGCTGGAGTTTGCAAATATACACTGCAAACTGGGCAAACTGTCTTAACTCCGCGACGAGATCTAAAACAATTTTCGTGAAAACTGTGCTTACACCGAGTCCGAAATTCTTCCGATTGATTCGTAATATCTTTGACACAAATCCCACAGATCCGATTGCTAACTGCACTGTTAGGGTCTTGTCCGCCTGATTGGGAAGTGGACATACTAATAATACTCTAGCTAATACTTGTTTAGGTGTTTGTAACCGAGAGTATGTAAATAACACCGATAATTAAGTAATATATATATTTATATTTTCACTAATTTGTAGTTAAGTAATCCTAAATTTTCTATACAGCAAAAATTTAATAAATGTTGTTGGAATCCTTGCCGTATCAGTCTGTTGATACCTTTTACTTCACTGACTTTCCCCCGTTGCCTTGACTATTTTATTTATTTACGTTTTTTTTTCTAGTTATTGTTAGTAATCATCGTTGAATACAAGGGACGCGCAATAGTGTGGAGCCATTGCGGATATCCAAGTCCGTGTTGATTTTGCCTGATTTTACTTTGAGCTTTATTATAAAAATTGGAATTTATTATGTTCTTGCTGTATTTATTTTAAGCGACGTAGCCGTACCGTAAAACTATTCGTTAACAATTGTTTACTCCTTCTTTTGGCAAGTTTCTGACTCTAAGTCATGATACTTTTCCATTCTACCGCAGGAGTCTCGCTTGAGTATAAGGAGTTCACCTTCGGCCTAATAGGATTGCACTTATGGTTGACTGTGGATATAGACACGTTATAGTCTACCTTATGCACATCTATTACGCAAGAACGAATCACAGAATAAAAATATAAGGGCTATTAACTTGCAATAGGTAGCTATTTAGATTTTCTCCACATAGGTAATCATCCACTACAAGTTTAAATTTATATAACCCTACCTGGTAAGTGCTACCACAGATTTACAAAGTCTACCGCCGAGGTAACCATTGCCTCGCGTTCAGATGTTGTGACTTTTTTATTTATCTCACTATGTATGACTGATTTTAACGTAAATCGGGCTAACACGTTGGGCGCCATTAAATAATATATTTAACTGTAACAATTAACGGATATTCCGTTGGGAGCAGATGATCGAGGACTTCGACAGAGTACGCGCTTGCTTCTCCGGCTCTACTGATGGGATGGGTTCAATATTACTGTCTCGTCCTTGGCTCCAGCGTTAACTATCATTATTTAAATTTCTTCGCGTACGAAATGATATTTGGGGGGTGTAATAAACGAAAAATTCGGTGGCTCACGTTGGCAACTGTCTATTTCAGCTGTTATATATTGTCAACTGTACATCTGTTTTCTATTCCTCCATTCTATACTCTGTTAGTACTTTAAGAATCTGGCAACTCTGTATGCTTCGCATAGAATAAACGGCAGTCTGAAATAGAACTCAACGAGAACACAACATATTGGCGACGAGGAAAAAAGTGAAAAATTTTGTAGAAAGATAAAAACAGTTAAATCGCATAAATCGTGTCGAGTAGTCGTTGATTTTCATCAAGATGCCGGCAGATGATGATTTGATCCAAGCAATACTTGCTCAACAGCAAGCATTTACAAAAGACATTATGGAACAGCACCAAAAATGTATGCAAGCAATGATGGATAGAAACGCTTCTCCAGGGCAGGGTGATTCAAGCCACACGGGTGAATTATCTTCGTGTCCTCCATTCCACAAGTTCGACAAAGACAATCAAAACTGGGAGTCTTACCTTGAACAGTTAACCCAGCATTTTAACGCGTATTCAGTTAGTGCAGAAATTAAGCAAAAGGCTTATTTTCTTTCGTGGTGTGGCATAAACATATTCGAACTATTGAAAAATCTGTTCGGGAGCAACAATTTGAACACGTATACATACATGCAACTCACAGACAAGTTAACGGAACATTTCGCAACAAAACGACACGTTGTTGCTGCTCGCTATGAGTTTTTTAAGAGGGAGATGAAACATTCGCAAACGCACAGAGAGTGGGTAGCCGACTTGCGCGGGATCGCTCGGGAATGCCAATTCGTCTGTAATGCCAACGGTTGTTCTTCTAACTATGTAAATGAAATGATTCGAGATCAGATCATAGTACATACGCCATACGATGCCGTCCGAGCATCTGCTCTTCAGAAGTCTCAGCCAACTCTTGAAGATGTGCTTATAGTTGCAGAAACCTATGAGACAACTACAAAAACCGTGGCAGCCCTCAAAGAAACGGTATCAAAGCAAGACCCAATAAACGCAGTTCACACCTATACAAAGAAACCATTCCTTGGTGGTGGTGAAAGTGATGCCAAATCAAACAAAAGTTCGCTAAAATCATGCTCTGGTTGTGGACACAATCATGCCAGAGAGAAATGCAAGTTTCGCGATGCCGTATGTCACAAGTGCGGTAGAAAAGGACATATAGCTGTTGTATGCATGTCGAAGCAAGACAAAAGTAAATGGCAAACGCAAAAAAGTCGCAAATTCGAAGCAAACGAAATCGAAACGATTGAAGCTGTAAACAGTGTTACAGGTCAAGTCATATGTCAGCAGAACAAGATTCTTATAGATCTTGAAATACACAACAAAGTTATTTCTTTTCAAATGGATTCCGGAGCCACAGCGTCCGTAATCAACGCCACTACATACGCGCTGTTGAATAAACCAAAATTACTCAAGTGTTCCCGAGTATTACATGCGTTTGGTCATACACCAATACCATTGCTTGGGGAGTTGCACACAATTGCAAAGTGCGGTGAAAAAGAGAAGCAAGTGGTCATAATCGTTGCGAACATTGAGACATCAAACAATCTATTTGGCATGGATTTATTCAACATTTTCGGCTTTGATATCATGCAAGTATCAAACGTTCAAGAGGTGCACGATGACGAAATAGGTGACCTTTGCAGCACGTACAACGAGGTGTTCGAACCAGCCATGGGTGTCATAAAAGACTTCAAAGCAAGTGTATTCTTAAAACCGTCAGCAACACCAAAGTTTTTCAAGAGCCGTCAAATTCCATTTGCACAGATGGACCAATTCAGAGCTGAGGCAGACAGACTTACACAAGCCGGAATTTGGAAGCCGATCAAATTCAGCAATTGGGCATCCCCAATTGTGCTTGCACCAAAACCAGGAGGCGCAATTCGCATATGTGGCGACTTTAAGCAAGCAGTCAACGCACAGATCGATGTTGAACAGTACCCGCTACCGACAAAAGAGGCTCTGTTTCACATAATACGTCACGGCAAGCAGTTCAGCAAAATCGATTTAAAGGATGCCTATCTTCAAATGGAACTGGATGAGGATTCAAAAACTTTCATGGTCGTCAACACACCCCTTGGCCTATTTCAATACCAGCGCCTTCCCTACGGGATTGCCAGTGCTCCAGCGATCTTCCAAAGGTATTTGGAGCAGCTTCTAAAAGGAGTAGAAGGATGTGGCAACTACTTAGATGACATCATCATCTCAGCACCTACAAGCGGGCAACATCTAAAGCGAATCGACCAAGTTCTCAGTATTCTTCGTGAGAATGGTATCAGATGCAAAAAGGAGAAATGCTTCTTTTTTACGGACGAAATAGAGTACTTAGGACGAAGAATCAGCGCTGAAGGGATTCTTCCAGACAGCTCAGGCTTGGAGGCTGTTAAATTGTTGCGTCCGCCTTCTAATCTACAGCAATTAGAAGCATTCATGGGTAAAGTTAATTACTATTGCAACTTTATACCGAATTATTCTCAGTTGGCCGCTCCTTTGAACCAGCTTCGCAGAAAAAATGTAGCATACCTTTTTGGGCCGCAACAACAACAAGCTTTTACATCCCTGAAGTCCCATATAATCAACGCTACTCAGCTAGCTCATTTTGATGAAAACCTACCATTAGTCCTTGCAACGGATGCATCATCTTTTGGTATCGGTGTAGTCCTTTCGCATATACAACAAGATGGCAAGGAGAGACCTATTGTTTTCGCATCAAAAACGCTTGACAAGCATCAGGTTAAATACAGCCAAATCGAAAAAGAAGGACTTTCTATAATATTCGGAGTAAAACGTTTTCACCAATATTTGTACGGCCGAAAGTTTACCCTTATAACGGATCACAAGCCACTTGTAACGATTTTCAATCCAGGCAAGCATCTTCCTTTAATGACGTCAAACAGGCTACAGCGCTGGGCCATCATTCTCATGGCCTATAACTTTGAAATTCAGTATCGATCTACATCTGCTCATGGCAACGCAGATGCCTTATCGCGCCTTCCCGTGGGCATGGATCCGGATTTCGACAGAGAAGAAGAAGCCTGCCACGTCGTAATGGAACTGTCACCACCGATCAATTCTGAGATTATTCGCAACCACATCGAAAAGGACAAACTTCTCAAACAAGTCTTACGGTATGTTACTGTAGGATGGCCAGAAAAACTTCAGCAGGGCGAGGAAGCATTATCACCATACTTTAATCGAAAATTTGCCCTCACGATCAACAAAAAATTGCTTTGCCTACACACAGATGCCAGTCGTGTAGTAATCCCAGTAACTCTTCAAGCGCATATCCTGAAGCTGTTACACGAAGGACATTGGGGCATTGTTCGAATGAAGCAGTTAGCCAGACAACATGTTTGGTGGCCTACGATCGACGCAGACATTAAAAACCTTGCTCAGTCATGCAGCATCTGCAAGTGCAACAATCCTGCTCCTCCAAAAGAGTATCAAAGTTGGCCTGCAGCAACAACAGCGTGGGAGCGAATTCATATCGACTTCGCCGGCCCAATATTCGATTCTATGTGGCTAATCTGCGTAGACGCTTACTCGCAGTTCCCATTTGTAGTTCAAATGTCGTCCACTACAACCGCTAACACGATCGCTGCACTATCATCGATATTCGCCATCGAAGGATATCCAAAAACCATGGTCAGCGACAACGGTCCGCAGCTTACGGCTGACGCCTTCGAGGAATTCTGCAAACATCATGGAATAAAACACATAACCACAGCACCGTTCCATCCGGCATCCAACGGATTAGCAGAGCGTTTCGTTCAGACGTTCAAATTCTCAGTCAAGAAGAACCTCAAAGACGGTATACCAGTCCGAGTAGCAGTTTCTAAATACCTTTCTTCTTACAGGTTCACTCCAAACTCCAACGGAAAATCTCTACTAAGTCAACTTTTCGAGCAGCCTGTCGAAGCCAAGCAATCGGTTACCAAGTACGTCCCAAATCAAATGGTCTACGCTCGTAACTACTCGAGGGGAGAAAAGTGGATTGAAGGCATTATCGACCGTCCAATTGGAAAAATGCTTTTCATCGTTCGCACCACAAATGGTTATATCAAGCGCCATTTCAACCAGCTAAAACCGAAGTTCTCAGCAAGCAGCCCCATCGAAAAACCTCCAGAATTCTGGTGGATTCCGGATATTCCCCAAACATCTTCAAATCAACCACCACAACAACAAGATCAACCACCACTACAAGAAGATCAACCGGTAACTCCGCCAGCCGTTCAGCAACGTGATCCTGAACCTGGGCCACCTGAGAGCTCCACATCATCTAACCAACAACCAAGACAAAAACAACCAGCACGACGTTCATCCGGCATACCTGTTCGCCAAAGTAGTCGTGTTCGCCAAGAAGTAAATCGTTTCAAGCCCAAGGATTTCCGAAAACCAAAAAATACTATTCGTTCTTAATTAAAGGAGGAGATGTGTTATATATTGTCAACTGTACATCTGTTTTCTATTCCTCCATTCTATACTCTGTTAGTACTTTAAGAATCTGGCAACTCTGTATGCTTCGCATAGAATAAACGGCAGTCTGAAATAGAACTCAACGAGAACACAACATCAGCTAAACAGGCAATCAGGGTATCGCATTAGCAAAGGTTACCTTCCTTACATAATCGCGCATCGCTGCAAGTACGCCCACCCAACCTTGATCTCCAAAAAACCTGGAAAAACTAATAAGTAAAGAGATCCCTCAGAAAGGTTTAGAGGTACCTCTTCAACATTCCAATACGGCTAGGTTCCAACATGACAAGAAATTAGTTCATTTTTAACAAAGCGGTGTTTATTCTAAGAAAGGCTTCCCAATGTGCCAACATGGTTATATACGATTTCAAATTCAATAATTTCAATATTCATTCATTTATACAGTTTACAAATTTTACAATTAGATTAAGAATTCTTAAAAATTACTATCATGCTAACGAGTGCGTAATGTGTGAGAAATAATAATGAGGATTGATACTAAATGCGATAATTGATTCCCTTGTTTACTGGGTTTATTCTTTTACTGTGTAAATATATGTTCGATTTAAGTTTTATATAATTTTACAAGCGCTACTATTATTCTGTCTTGTGCTGTTGAACCGCCGTAATATTTAGATTGCAACCAGTACAATGCCAGTTTATCTCTCCGCACACTTCCCTATTACTTGTTATGTATTTACATTTAAAAGCTTTTCAGACTACGATGCATATTTGGGTATGTCACTTACATGTTTGCAATTCCCGCGCCGAAAGATCTTTCGCTGAGGGCAGCTGTGATGATTGTGCTGGACTTAAGGGTATTAGGAAATAAGATTAGGAGGCGAGTGCCGAGAGCTTGTGTTCTTTTTGCGGTATTCGATAGCACAGAATTTTCGGGATTTTGTTTTGATTCCTTTACCGCGCTATGTACCTGAATATACGTATAACTGCATTCTTATTCCGGACTATGCGCACTCGTTTAACTTATCAATAAAAGTTGGCTACAACCAAAAGAATATGTTTTCAGTTTTTTAACTTATTTTATCTATTCAAGACCCTGTCTCTTTCTTTCTTTTTTTTTTGTGATTATTCTAAAGTTTACTATCGTTTAGCATTTAATTAAAACCTATAGGTATATGGGTTACAGTCTCCTATTGATTTTCGTGTTAATTCAGTTTTCAGTTTCAATTCATTTTCTTTATGTTGTTAGTTCGAGTGTAAATTAACGAACGCTGAATTGGATTTAGTGCAACAACTAAGTTTTCGCTGGTCACTTTCGGTCAATGTAATTTCTTCCGGGAGATGACCTCTTTATTTGGTCTCTTTCACTAAACTTATAATTTCGACCTGCGTATGACTTATAATATTTAGGTGCGATGCCGAAACGTTGCCGGGTTTTTTTTTCGGTTTGCACTGGTTAGGTTAGACCGCACGCGGGTAAAGTTAGTTAAGGTTTATTGTTTCACATGGTGGCCAAAAATTAGGATATATTGGGTGCGATGTTCCTGATGGGGCTGATGGTGGTGCTCCACGTGTAGGCCAAATTGGTGGCATTAATAAAGCTTTTCCTTTTGACGGGCTCGAACGCAATACTAGGTGCCGATTATCTGATAAAACAGAAATATTTCAGCCTAAACTCAACCAAGTTAGCTTTTAAGGGTCTCATTACCTGTGATTGGCGCACAAAAAAAAAACTTGAACAATATTTTGAACTCGTACAACCAAATTCTGGAGCTACTAGTCAGGAGTCTAACACGAGAAAAAGTGGTCCAATTGGGTGGGTGCGGCCTTTTTATACCTCAAACTGATTCTTCTATGTTCTTCCGGTCCCTTTTGGTAACCACGATGCGAATTTTTGACAGTTGTCAGCTGGTATTAATTTTACGATAGATATCGGACCTTACATCTTGGTCTACAGTGAGTTACGAGTCTGAACAGATGATATTGGACCGCAAGCATTCTTTTGGGCTGTAGCAATATTTAATGTTTTAGCGACAAGCGCACCTTTACAGGCCCATACTCTGTAGTTTAAAAATTAAACCGGAGTTTCGATTTTTGTCTTCGGGGTGAGACCAGGTCGAATGCGACAGTTCGATCTCAAAACGCGTTACCACATTTTAGTGGTTTTCGTCGCGTTGGTTTCCTGCATTCTGGTGAAATTCGTGAAGAGAAAAAGACGTAAGTAAAGTGAAATTATTTAAAAATGAAGGCAACCTTATTTTATCCTTAAGCCTAGTATCCAGATCGACGAATACCGTACGCCAGTCATGAGAGAGAGCGAGAGGCAAACAGCTGGCGTTCACTTTTCGTCGGGCCTTTTTTTCACGTCATGCCTCTTGTCAGAGCAAAATGTTTTTTAGGTCCAGAATGTACGAAAAAATACAATAAAAGTGCAGCTATGAACTTTAAATTAGCAAATAATTATCAGTAAATTAAAAAAAAAAACTGTTAAATTTAAATTGTATTGTTTTTTAATTTCTTTGTACAGCGGCAGACTTGTCTTGCCAAGGTATTTGATAATATCTTTTAAAGGCTCTTTCCCGCAAATACGATATTTGAATTTTAACTGCTTGTCAACAAACCCAGCTGATTGACAGTACGACCGTAGCACGCTTAAATCTGATGAACTCTCAAACTTTTGGTCACACTGGTAAGATTAAAGTTTTTACGCTAGCGTAATCGTTTGTCGATCTGGATACTAGGCTTTATTGGTTAATTGTGTGGAAATATGTAAGAGTAATCGAGTGGCCAGATTGATCTCGTATAATAATCATAATCGGAATTAAATTATCGTACATTTACTTTAAAATGCTCTCTTTTCCGTTTTCATCCCCCAGTTTTCATGGTAACAAGTGATTTGCGCAGTCGCATTTTTATATTTACATATATGTACATATGTATGTATGTACATATTTACATATTCGCATGCGCAAATCACTTGTTACCATGGAAACTGGGGGATGAAAACGGAAAAGTGCGCAGTTGTTTTGTTTTTTTGTTGTGCTTTGCGATAGATACATACATACATTTGTACGAGTGGCCCAAAACTTGTAAACATATTGTCGTGTTTTTCAAATTTCAATGTTGTTGAGGAACCTCACTAATAATTATAATAATCTAGTATATTTAATAGTATCTAAGATATTCTTTTCTTGAGATGGTCTGGTCTGACTTTGATATATCGGCCTCTCTCTCTCTTCCTCCTGACTACGAGCTGTCAACATGAAATAAAGCGTAACTTCTTATTGTGAACTAATTGAGTATTATTCTATCAACCCAGTTTGAAAGTGGTCTTACAAACCATTAAGCGTGATCTATTCATCAACATTGTCTGGTCCTTCGAGAGCCGGAATACTTCCGCATCTACAAACTGTTTAAGTATATCTACACACTATGGAGCAACAGACGCTTAAACGCCTTACCCAAGCACGTGGTCGGCTAAAGGCGACCGTAACTCGCTTGGTCAATTACATTGATCATCCACCTCCACAGAGCACTTACTCCGGAGTCGATGCCATGCTGGCCCGGCTAAATCAAGCCTTCAGAAGCCTTGAGGAGATCACTGACGAAATGCGGAGCAGTACCTTCGCGCGCTTACCTTATTCGCGTCGTTGAAGAGCGACCTTCAGCCAAGCGCCATTCCTCAAGCGGATCACAACATGGCCACATTGCTGCAACAGCAAAGTGAGTTCTTGCAGCGACTTTCTGAGAAGGCAGCACCTACCTTGGCCACGCCGCCGCCTGCTGCAGTTTGTTTAACTGAAAACCCGTTGCCGAAAATCCACATCAAACCCTTTGGTGGAGACTACAAGGAATGGCCAGCCTTTAAGGACATTTACGAGAGCACCGTCCTTTGTAAAACATGGATTCCATGACAGTTGCTCCTGCGGACACTGCACAGGCCAGTCCTCCAACTTCTGGATGTAGCTCAACTTTGGTCGCCCAGACGCAAAACAGCACCTCATTAACACAGTCACCGGGACTCAAAAGAAGCACATTGCCGACAGCTTTGGAGTATGTCCAAAACTCTAAAGGGACTTACACAATTTGCCGTGTGCTTTTGGATAGCGGCTCTGAGCTATCCTACGTTTCTGAACGATGCGTCAACGCACTTGGGCTTGCACGTTCACCCTCAAGAATATTAGTTTCCGGAATATCTTCCGTCAAGGCTGAAACTACTAGAGGATTGGCAACGCTGCATATCAAGTCAATGGTGTCACTCCATACGATTGTTGTCGCAGCCCATGTGCTGGGCAAAATCACATCATCACTTCAACGGGACGACATTGACGAAAAAGCTTTAAGGATCTACGATGGACTCCAGTTAGCAGATACTTCGTTTAACACATCTTCATCTGTAGACATTTTACTGGGAAACGAACAAATTTGGTCCGTTTTGTCAGGTGATAAAAGATATGACACCGCTGGAAATATTATTGCCATCAGCTCAATCTTTGGATGGATAATCACTTCCGTTGCAATGCCGCATCCATCAACCGCCAACACGCTCATGACTACTGTTGACATAAACGCCTCTCTTCAACGCTTTTGGGAGATCGAGGATAACACTGAGCATACGCAACGAGACCCTTCGCACGAAAAGGTGGAGCAGCACTTTCTGACCACACATTCCCGAGACCCGGACGGCAAATACATCGTTGAATTGCCTTTTAAACACGAATGCCAAGAGTTCGGAGACAGCCTGCAGGGCGCTGTCTCACTCTTCTATGCTGTGGAACGTCGCTTGCAGCGTGATTTGGAGCTGCGCAAGCAATATTCAAAATTTTATCCCCAAGACGACGTCCTGTCCTACAAAGCTTCACTTTCTCCGGAGCCAGATGCTACTAAACGGCAAGTATTGTCAGATGTCTCACGAATTTTTGATCCTTTAGGTATTCTGGCGCCTGTGGTAGTACAGTTCAAGATCCTTTTTCAAGAACTCTGGCTACTTGACCTGGACTGGGATACCAAACTCCCACCGAAGCTGGCTGAGTGGTCGCAGACCTTTCGCAACGATATCAACTACATAACAAACCTAAGGATTCCACGTTATGTACACAACAAATCGGGAAAAATCGAATTACATGGATTTTCAGATGCATCTATAAAGGCATATTCCGCTGTCGTTTACAGCCGTGTAAGCAACGCAGACGGCACCTGCTTGGTTTCACTTATAACAGCCAAAACACGCGTTGCGCCACTAAAGCAACAAAGTCTTCCTCGGCTGGAACTCTGTGGCGCGCTATTGCTCACTCGCCTTCTCCGAGCTGTTAAAGAAGGCCTGTATCACAAGGATATAGTTGTGCATGCTTGGTGCGATTCCACGATTGTCCAGCTATGAGCTGCTTGCTTCAAAGCTGCGTAGTGGCAACAATCCCACAACAATTTTGGACACACCCATAATGGATGGGCTGAAATCCTCTTCACTATCCAGCCGTGTTGAATCTGAACCTGAAGCGTCCCCGATTGAGTGTCTATCGTTTCGAGTTTCTTCCTGGACCAAGCTGATTCGCTGCACTGCTTATGTTTTACGGTTTATGCATCGAAAAATGAAGAAACGGATTCCGTCAAACCTCACACTCACGTTTGAGGAGATCAGCGAGGCCCGCATTTATTGTCTAAGGCAGGCTCAAGGAAGCTTCTCATCCGATCTACACCTGTTGCAAAGGGGAAAAGCTGTGCCAAATTCGTCATCACTTCGAACACTCTCACCCATGGTTTGCCAGAATGGCCTGCTTCGTGTAGGTGGGCGCCTCTCAAACTCGCTACTACCGGAGGAAGTCAAGCATCCAATTATTCTGCCGAAACATCATCGCATTTCTCTGCTGATTTTGGAACACGAGCACAGGATACATCTTCATCCATGTGTGACAGCACTTTTCGTCATCGTTCGCCAACAATATTGGATAGTTGGCGCACGCAACATGATTCGCAAGCTTACACATGCTTGTCTCAAATGTTTTCGCCAACGCCACAAAACAACTGATCAATACATGGCGGACTTGCCAGCTGTTCGGGTACGTCAAGCATACCCATTTGAAATTACTGGGTGCGACTATGCCGGACCGCTTCTACTCAAGGTGCACAAGGGACGGAATCCACGAAAGGAAAAGGGATACATTTGTCTATTCGTCTGCCTAGTGACCTCCGCAATCCACTTGGAGTTGGCTACAGATCTCAGCACGGAAACATTTCTTGCTGCACTTCGTCGTTTTATCTCCCGTCGAGGCAAGTATACCCACATCTTCAGCGACAACGGTCGCAACTTTGTGGGAGCAAAGAAGGTGTTAGACGAAATGTATAAGCTCATCCTGTCGCAGCAGCATAACACTCAAGTAACCCAAGCGTTGGCCAGCGAGGGTATCAAATGGAGTTTTATACCACCGCACGCACCCCACTGGGGCGGAAAATGGGAATCAGCTGTTCGCTCCGTAAAGCTTCATCTGCGTCGTGTCATCGGGAATTCTTTCCTCACATTTGAGCAAATGCACACCTTTCTGGCTCAAATTTAATCCGTCTTCAATTCACGCCCTCTCTTCGCTACGTCAGACATCGAGGTTTCCTACTTGTCACCCGCACACCTGCTGATTGGACGCCCTTATACATCAGTTCCAGAGGGCGATCTTGGACACATAGCAGTTAACCGACTGGATTACTGGCAAAATGTACAGGCAATGCTACAAGGCTTTTGGAAGAGATGGCATCAGGAGTACATCACTACACTTCAACAGCGCCCTAAGTGGAATACGGAAAGGAAGAACATTGCTACTGGGGATATGGCGATCATCAAGGATTCAAACACACCCCCCGCCTCTTGGACTTTGGCGCGCATAATTGAAGTCTACCCGTAAAGCTGCGAACTTCATCAGGAGAACTTGTTAGACCCATTTCTAAAATTGCCATCCTGCCTAATTCAGAAACTTAGTTTCAGGGTGGGCCGGGATGTTGAGGAACCTCACTAATAATTATAATAATCTAGTATATTTAATAGTATCTAAGATATTCTTTTCTTGAGATGGTCTGGTCTGACTTTGATATATCGGCCTCTCTCTCTCTTCCTCCTGACTACGAGCTGTCAACATGAAATAAAGCGTAACTTCTTATTGTGAACTAATTGAGTATTATTCTATCAACCCAGTTTGAAAGTGGTCTTACAAACCATTTAGCGTGATCTATTCATCAACAAATGTAATGCAATAACAAACAAATTTAGTTTATCTCAGCTTTTCAAATACTGGACGACGCACTACAAAAATTTGTAACAGAAAATGATTTGGACCTAGTTTGCCTTATAAATTTGATTGGTAAGTTACTTTAAATATAATAGTAAATATTAATTTATTTTAATTATAAAATGAATTAATAGACTGTGGCTATACCTATGAAAAACTGCAATATATAGAAAATGATGATCTAAATTTTATTTTTCCAAATCGGGAAGACACCGCTTTGCGTTCCGAATTTAGGGCAAAGCTTTTGAGTGGAAAGCCAAAAATGTGAGCATTCTTTTAAAAATGTTTAATGTTTAAGATTACATTTTTAATTATGTATTCAGAAAAAACACCTGCCGACTTTGGCTCAGCCCATATCCTTGCCAGAAAAAAACTTAGAGTATCAGGAAATAAATTTGCAAAGTGGATCACGTGTTTGTAAGGTAACTATATGGAGTGCTTTGCAAAGGACACAATTTTGTAACTTGGCCCTTACCGAGTAGCTTTGATAAGCCCAAAAATTAATACAAAAATAATATTATGTTTTCACTATGTGTATTAATTTATGAACTTTTAAGAGCACAACTTATTATTTTTAATTAAAAAAATATTTTTATGTGCACTACTCGTTAAATCCCAAATACTCCTTACAAGTTCCAAACCTCTAATGATTTTTTATAATTTTTTTTATATATATATTTTTTTAAAAATATTTTTATTTATTAATCCATAATTAATCAAGAGTTCAATGGATATACTCCTGTCGTCAAATACCGGAAAAAAAATTATGGAACAGTATAATTTAATCAATGTTTTATCGCAGCACAATAGGCGAAAAATAGTTCATTTAATTTCTGACCATTTTTATAACCCTCTTAACAATACATATGCAACTGTTAAATTGGCTGAAATAGAAAAGCTCGCCAACGAAATAGTCGATATATTTCCGTCAGAAAAAAAAGAAATATACTATATTGGACGCAGAGAGACTAGGAGGAGTAGCCCTGGTGGAATCCTATTTAATAGGCTTCACAATCATTTCAAAAGAAATACGGCAGCCACAGAAATCATTTGCCCAGAACCAGCTGATACTACAATCTTCATAGTAAAGCCTAGTATCCACTACGACGTAAACCGTACGCCAGTCATGAGAGAGAGCGAGAGGCAAACAGCTGGCGTTCACTTTTTGTCGGGCCTTTTTTTCACGTCGGTCTCCTGATCGACGAAAAAAATACCAGAAAATTCCATAGCGTTGCAGGTCAGCAAAATGTTTTTTAGGTCCAGAATGTACGAAAAAACACAATAAAAGTGCAGCTATGAATTTTAAATTAGCAAATAATTATCAGTACATTAAAAAAAACAACTGTTAAATTTAAATTGTATTGTTTTTTAATTTCTTTGTACAGCGGCAGACTTGTCATGCCAAGGTATTTGATAATATCTTTTAAAGGCTTTTTTCCCGCAAATACGATGTTTGAATTTTAACGGCTTGTCAACAAACCCAGCTGATTGACAGTACGACCATAGCACGCTTAAATCTGATGAACTCTCAAACTTTTGGTCACACTGGAAAGATTAAAGTTTTTACGCTAGCGTAATCGTTTGTCGATCTGGATACTAGGCTTAAGCACTGATATGTTAGATTGCGTCCAAAAATTAACGTTTTACGTTGGCAGCGAGGAGGATTCCATGGAGCTATGGGCCGCTACCTATAAATTACGAAAAAACATATCATAAAAAACATATAACATAAACATCTATTTACGTCAAGGACAAATTTTACAAAAATCTCTTTACCTCGTTAAGTCTTTCTGTTACTCCAAGTAAGTAGTTTTTATAATATTTTTCTGTTTGAAATTTAATAACTTAATGCTTGTTTTGCAGGCTCAAAAGACTGCATAATATTTATGCTTTTGCACGCTGTTGTAAAGCCCTCTTACCGATATACGGTAACACAAGGCAGCGAGAAGTTTTGTCGTAAAGCCTAGTATCCAGATCGACGAAAACCGTACGCTAGTCATGAGAGAGAGCGAGAGGCAAACAGCTGGCGTTCACTTTTCGTCGGGCCTTTTTTTCACGTCGGTCCCCTGATCGACGAAAAAAATACCAGAAAATTCCATAGCGTTGCCAGTCTGCCGAAATGAACTTTGGGTGAACCCTAGCGAAAAGATTAAAAAATTTAATCTTTTGGCGTGCGCTTCTCACTGAACATTAAAAGAAATGGAGGGAAAAACTCAAAAAACTCACAAAAGTCGATTGCCGGTGTTTACATGTGAGGACAAAATAACATTAATACTATCTGGGGTGCCTCTTGTCAGAGCAAAATGTTTTTTAGGTCCAGAATGTACGAAAAAACACAATAAAAGTGCAGCTATGAACTTTAAATTAGCAAATAATTATCATAACATCAAAAAAAACAACTGTTAAATTTAAATTGTATTGTTTTTAACTTCTTTGTACAGCGGCAGACTTGTCTAGCCAAGGTATTTGATAATATCTTTTAAAGGCTCTTTCCCGCAAATTCGATATTTGAATTTGAACTGCTTGTCGACAAACCCAGCTGATTGACAGTACGACCGTACCACGCTTAAATCCGATGAACTCTCGAAATTTTGGTCACACTGGAAAGATTAAAGTTTTTACGCTAGCATACTCGTTTGTCGATCTGGATACTAGGCTTTAACAGGAAATACGTGGAGAATAATACGCCAATTCAACCATTTATAATTGTTGTGGGTATAGATATCCAAAACTTGACAAAGTTATATGTAAGCTTTGGGGAAAGCCTGTACAAATTTAGTTCGTTTATAGTAGCTTTAGATATTTGTTTTAAAGTCTATCAGGTATTCGGCCTTAATTACCCAAAGGAGTCCAACAAGATATGGACTTTCTTACAGGATTTTTTTTTTGATATAAAAACTCCATACGATGTTAAATATTCTTGTGTGTCTAGTTTAATTGAAGCTCTAAACTTGTAAATAACTTTTTTTTTTTATTATTTAAAATTAATAAATATTTTTAAGGGACCCCCCACTACCATTTATAAAAAATCGACTGTTAGTTATGTAAGAATTAAATCATTCTAATTCTAATTTTAATTATAAAAATATTAGTATAATAAATAATATTAAGAACATATAATAAAATAATAATTAAAAATTTCAGCGCATTTTTACTGGGAGAAATATGTATACTACAAGGAAACCAAATAGTATAATTTTTATACTACAACTCTTAGAAATTAGTATAACTAGTAGTACGAAATGTATACTACATGCCGTATACTATGAATACTACTTGGTATTTTTGTTATACTAAATAGTATACAAAATAATCTAGGAGATTCCGTATGAGTATACCGAGTGAGTTTAAATTTTATACTAGGCAGTATAAAATTGATAACATCGAAATATACTCATAATACTCATCTTATTGACAAATTTTTTATACTGCATAGTGTAGAATTCATGTAACAATAGTTTCGTTTCTATGACTAATTTTTTTTGGGTGTATAACAACCTTTATCATCTAATTTGCATTTCAACTTCTATCCTGTTATAAAAACTAATATTTTAACTCATTTGCTTGTCTCTTAAATGTGCCTTTAATTTCACTTGTGTCTTGTCTCTATTTAATTTATGTATTTTCCTCGCGTTTTTTGCCCAAATTGACACGTGCTTGGTGTCGTTGGGCCACTTGTTTGTACTGCTCGTAGTGCAACAACGTCCATCAGTATAAAAGTATTAAAATACAACTTTCGATGTTATCAATTTTATACTCCCGAGTATAAAATTTAAGCTCACTCATGAGCCTTTCAGAGTATTGTGTTCTGACTATAATAGATTTTTTCCTGTAATCTCAAATTTTGACTCTCTGCCGCTCTTAAAACGATTAATACACCCAAAAAAAAATAGTCATAGAAACGAAACTATTGTTACATGAATTCTTCACTATTCAGTATAAAAAATTTCTCTATAAGATGAGTATTAAATAAAAACTTCGATAGTATTAAAAAACAACTTTCGATGTTATCAATTTTGTACTCCCGAGTCTAAAATTTAAACTCACTCGGTATACTTATATCATACTCCTAGTTTATTTTTCATACTATTTAGTATAACAAAAATACTGTGCTACCAATACGTAGTATACATTTCGTATTATTTCGTTTACTACTGGCTGCGAGCTGTAGTACACATTTTGTACAATAAATTTTTGTCAACAAGCCCTATGGGGTTTTGACCTGTTTTTGTGGCATTAATTAATAACTCGGTCAGTTTTGGAGATATCGACATGAAACTTTACCAATCGTCATTATTTGTCCCTAGGCACATATTGTGTGAAAATCGTTCGGATCAGGAAACAATATCCTATAGCTCCCATAGAAACGATCGGTTAAAACTATTATTATTATCTATTGTTAATCTATGCCTATAAAAGTAGATGATAATGAGTGCAATAAAAGCAAAAAGAAAAAAAACCATCAAACTCAAAACTCATCGGCAGCCACGTACACATATCGACTATCAATTCGCCAGTTTGTAGGCAAAATTATTCGAATTTGTCCAAAATGACGGGCAACTGACAGCCCAAACATATCAAAATGATCTTCATATTATAAATAATTTTTTCATCAAACA